TAGTACCAGAATGCAGGAGGTTATCCTGATTGGGGAGATCAGGTGTGAAGAAGAATCATGTGCATATAGGCCACTTCAAATTGAACATGGAAGGAAGTTATGAAGGAGTTGGAAAGAGTCTTGGGAGGAGTGAGAACAACCAGGGATGTGAGAAACAAATGAAAGCAATTACAATAGGGAGGGGGGGGGGCAGTAAGCGGATTTTGCTACCTTTGTTGTCGAGGAACAAAGAACTAGGTCAGAGGCATGGAACAAAAGTAACATACTATAGACGCTTTTTTTCATGCCAAATTCGTACATTATGCCATGCGCAGTGAAAAATAATGAATATTGAGGGGAGTTTGCTGATTATATGCACAAATCCGCTGGGGCACGAATTCCTGATGCTATGAAAATTTCTGAATCAATGGATTTTGACTCACTTTAAATTTTTCATTTGGGCACACTTCAAACTCCTCCCCCCCATCTTTATGGGATGTTGATTTTTATCCTTATTCTATCCATTTCAATTTAATTGCATTGACACAAAGCTTTAGTCGCCAGGCATCTCCTGGTGATTCCAACTCATTTGCCACCAAATAAGTGGCGCCAAATGACTAAATAAACATAATTGTATTTCCATAATGTCTTGATTATAGGTTGAGAAGTAAACGCAAGCCATGTTCCTTGAATTTTTCAGTAGAAGCAAAAGCTGAGGACATTACGCGCCTGTCTGGACGCTTGCGAGCATTTCCATAGGCTTTCGTACTTGAAATCTTTGAGCATCAGCCATGTTGTTAATTTCGGTGGACTATTAAAGCATTCTCTTTTTTTCACTAGAGGCCTAAAATCCATGATAATTGTTCTATCGTCAATTCTCTAACTGGATTAACCTACTCCTTGTGTTTGATTTTGCTGAATTGCTTTAGGGTGCTTTCCCTTTGTGTCCTTGTAATTTAATTGGTGCAATTTATGACAAAGTCAAAAGCAATAACCAGACAGATGGAAACGCTTTTGCAAATGCAAAGCTACCTTAATCCTTCAAGCTGAAGGTCCTTTACTTAAATACATACTGGCCTCGATTAAGTTGGAACCGAGTAGCAACTATTACAATATTGGGCTG